GAATTGTGGACAGCAGAGGCCGCATACAGCTACTGGTAACCCAACGTTTATCACAAACCACTTTACTCAGCCAATGAGCTGGTCAGCTTACCAACTAAACAGCACTTAGTAGCAGCAGAGCTAACCAATCAGCTCTCTGTAGCAGTAATGCTAACCAATCAGCACTCAGTAGCAGTAATGCTAACCAATCAGCACCTAGTAGCAGTAATGCAAACCAATCAGCACCCAGTAGCAGTAATGCTAACCAATTAGCACTCAGTGGCAGTAATGCCAACCAATCAGCACTCAGTAGCAGTAATGCAAACCAATCAGCACTCAGTAGCAGTAATGCTAACTAATCAGCAATGCTTAAACTGGCTCTGGTGATGTTTATTCTTACTGCATGTCATGTGTTCTCTGGACATTCGAAATACAACCACTTGAGGTTTTTGGGGGACTTTTTAACCATGATAACTTCCATGTGGTAACGACAGGGTTGTTGTCAGTTGATCAGTGTTGACCACACCATCGCCCGCTAATTTGAGCTCCACGTTCATGAGGCATTGGACTGTTTAGAAATTTCACACCCGTTTTTTTATCCCACCCTAGAAAGTCTACATTCCCACCCCACATTTAGCCCAAAAGCTCCCATGGTTGTCCCCAGATGTTCTCATTACAAGATCACGCCTGGCCCCGCGAGACTAAAGCAATCACAGTTCTAGATTTCATCTCTTGATTTTACCAAAATATTGTGTTTTTGTAATTATGTAATACAGGCCAAACATTTTCAATCTACTGCAAGTTGTATTCCAATCACAACGTAATAATACTAGTATTTTGTCTATGTTGTGCAGTCCTAACGTAACAATGGCACAAAGTAATCACTCCCTGCTGTCTAATGCTGAGTATGACAAGGCTGAAAAACGTCCTAATGAGATCAGGAGCCTAATAGCAGTTAAAGCTCGGAGAGGCGCTTCCCAACTGCATCAGTTCAGTGTGTTATCTGATGTATCACCAGGGTCTTATCTGGATTTGTCTGCTCGGCAGTCTAAAGCCATCCGCTCCGCTAAATTAGCTCCATTAGCTAAATGCAACATGGAGGTCAACAGCTAGTGCCCCCCTGCATTACTTTACTGGCAGGAATGTGGCAGAGCCGGGATCAGTTTTCTTCACTCTATCACTACACTGGATGGTTATGAGGAAAAAAAACCCATATCATAGATCAGAAAGGCCAAATGTACTAAGATCAGGACCAGAAGCAAACTCTGAGAGAGGCTGACAAGAGAAGTACAGGGCCCAGTCTAACATGGGGTAAAATGTAATTGATTTTTTGTATGTAGTTAAGCATTTTCACAGCACTCAGACAGATATTCCTCACGATTCACACTAAAGATGTTTTTTGCACCATAAAAGTAACAATTCTCTTAATATTTTTAAATGCGAAGCACTTCATGGAACTGGCTTACAACTCACTCATGTTTATCAGGCTGAAGATTCTCCACAAGGGGGCACCTTTTAGCTCTCACAAAACTCTTGGTGCTCCACATAAGAGTGTCCTTCACTGTTCGATTAGACTAAATAAAGTCACAGAATTCACTATTATTTAAATCTCTCTCCTGATAGCTGTAATATAGCCCTGCAGATAAACAACTCGCAGTGAGAGCAGGCAGGGCTAAAGTCTCCACAGCCTCCACACGCCAGGGTTAGTTCAACACACTGTTACAACTAAGACCCCCATAGCAAACACTGGTCTCTTTTCCACCATGGAGCCAGTTAGTTCTCAGGGTCGTACTGTCATTCAGTGCTGGTGTGGACTCATGAGACTGGTTACGAATTCTTTTTTCATCCAATGTGCTGTTAAATCAGAACCAGGAAATAAAGAAAACTACACACAAGAGTGGCTCAGCTATGGCTAACAGACTAAATACTACAGAACATGATTGATTCTGGCATGATTTTGTGCTCTCAGTGTCTTTCTACTCTAAACGAGTGTTATTTGACCAGCTAGCTGGAACCGAGCCTGTACTGCTCTAGGTGAAACCTTTAGCCTGTTAACTAACGTTACACTAGTGCAGGGGTCAGCAACATGCGGCTCTTTTACTGCCCTGTTGTGGCTCCACAGCAGAATTAGATTTGTAGGTAAAAATAAAATAATCCTCCTTTGCAGTAAAATTAAGCTCTGCTGATCATTCTAACACAGTTTTAACAATAAATGGTCTTAAACGTTGGAGTTAATGTAGAACTGCTGATTCACCCTTTAACCCTGAAGATCAGCACAGACTGCTGGTCACCATAGCAATGCAGACAACAACCTCACCTAGTTAGTAGCTAACGAAAACGCAAAGAGAAAGATTTAAGACACACATCGATAATTTGGAGACAAACTGACTTATTTGCATTTATGATCACTTCAGCTGGTTTCCTGATATGTTTAACAGCAAACGAGAAACTGTCACACACTAAAGTCATCAAGCTGAAGTCAGTTTCTCATTCGCCAGCTTCTCATTCGAATGCACAAAAATTTGCAGGAAAATGTTCATGTTACATTTATTTATAGCAGATATATATTCTGCATAGGTTTCCAGTACAACAAAAAATGGCTAATCTGGTTTAAATAGTTTTAAAATAATTTAGCAAAAAACAAAATGTGCCCCGTTCTGCTCTACCTAAGGCCAAAAAGCCTTAATTCTGCAATCTGTTCTCCAGGCACACAGCAGACAGAGCTTATTTTGAATCTACTTTAAAAATGCAGCACATACAGCAACGTCCAGTGGAGATGTGGTATGCTTTATCAAAGAAAAGAAAAACATGGATGTTTATAATAAGAAATGAAATGTGAAGTTCTGTAATTTTGCTCCTCCATGCATAATGTTTGTCTTTCCATATTAGGAACCCCAGAGCTGCTGAAAGACGAATATGAACATCGCAGATTCTACTTTCAGACAGAAGGAAAAAAGGACAAAGAGTGCTTCAGCATCATAACTAAACCCAGATTTCACCCCAAAACAGCCAAGAAGTGTGTTAGTAATTACACAGGAACTTCTAATACACAAACTCAACAGCATCAGATTGATTTGTTTATTTGAGATCTTGTATGAAGGAAATAGATTTTTCCCTTCTTTTCACCCAAATCATTCATCAGTTTTTGTCCAAAGTGTGGCACAATTTCTCATCTGAAAGGCTGAATATCTTCAGAACTCCAGCCCACTGTTTCCTTAAAGTGATTCTTCAAACAAACATGAAGTTCACCCTTCTTAAGCAGAAGCAGCTGATCCAGCATTATTTGGTGTCTGTTTGTGTTTGTACTGGAGCTAACAGGCTAATGGAGCTAACAAAAAATGGAAGTCTATACCCCACCAATTAGCATCATGACTAAATCATTACAGAGACTGTGTAAATTTCTAACACCATGTTGTTATCTATAAAAATTTTACTAAAGTACCTCTTAGCACAGCTAAAAACAGCAGCAGCAATATTGAAACCTGAATTTTGTCTGTACTGTAGCTCATATTTATACATAACATTGTGTCATAAAGTGTCAGAAACCACATAATCAAGTCTATTTAGGGATACTGCACATAGCTTAAGGCGGGTGGATGATTATTTAGGCATGATGCTAATTGGTGTACATAAGCTTTCATTACTTGTTAGCGATATTAGCCTCATAGCTCCAGTGCAAAACCAAGCTCCAAACATGTGGGGGAAACTGTTTAGGTTTGATTTTTGTGCCAAAAACACTCTTCTATTAACGGACTGCATAGGGCACAGCTGGGATTCAAACCTAAATTATAGCAGTTGGCTTCACCTGTTTTCCTCCGGTTGGTTTCTATTCTGATTATAGCGAATTCAGTGAGGAAAAAAAAAAATCTCAAAGCAGCACACAGTGGAGAAGAAGCAAGCTGCAGACTTGCTTATGCGATCTTAGACTCACAAAAATAATTAAAACCCTTCTAATTTCCAAATATCATAATATATATGTGCTGCGTTTTACTTGTTATAAAGTACCAACCCACCCCCCACAAAAATTTAAACTGAGATCCTAATGGTTTGCATCTTGGAATCCACTGGGGAGTGAAGGGAGAGGTCCTTTCTGAGCCGCTGCACAGCAAACTCTATTTCAAGAGGGAAGGGCTAGTAAATTATGCAAGTGTCTCTGGTCATTTGGGAGGCTTTTTAATACAGTGCAGAGTAAACCAGAAGATGAAACCCAGATCCAGATGAAGATGAAACTGGGCTAACTCAAGGAAGGATAAAGAGAAAAATCACTCAGCAATCGTCACCACTCAAAACATTAGCGCAGAGGCCATTTATAAAAAAAAAAACACTTAAATAAAAGAAAACAGCCAAAAACTCAGTTCAGTCCAACATCCCCCTGAGCTTAACTAATCATCTATTTACTACATTGCTAAAGAGAAATGATTCCAGAGCTGTCCGAGAAATTATTCCCAACAAACCTTCTTTGTAAATTACAGCAGATTTATAATTTCTACACCAATTCTAATAATTATAACATCAGCTGATGGGACAAAATGGATTAATATTAGGCATATTGCAGACAGGAATGCACAGAAACTTCAGCCACCGAGACATTTCGATTGAAAATGGCTGAAAGCACTTTTGGTTGTTTACCGAAAAATTAAAAAAAAAAACAAAAAAAAAAACTAAAGATTCTACAACAACGTGTCAAAATCTAACGCTTAACAAATCATTTCAAGAACAGGACTGACACCCTCCCCTCTGTAGACTCAGGTCTAATAATTCATTGGCTTGAATGATCAACCAGTCTTTGTTGTGTAAGATGTTGCATTATGTGGCACAACAGTGATAATTATAGTAAGTTTATTTATGCCATTGCTGTTAATAAGGTGTTGCTAGGCCATTGCTATGGTATCCCAGGTCGTTGCTAAGGTGTTGCTAGGCCATTGCTATGGTATTCCAGGTGGTTGCTAAGGTGTTGCTAGGCCATTGCTATGGTATTCCAGGTGGTTGCTAAGGTGTTGCTGGGCCATTGCTGTGGTATCCCAGGCGGTTGCTAGGGTGTTGCTAGGCCACTGCTATGGTATTCCAGGTGGTTGCTAGGGTGTTGCTAGGCCATTGCTATGGTTTCCCAGGTAGCTGCTAAAATGTATTGGGTGCGTATGTATATATGGGTGCCAGTAAGTATGTAATGTCTGTTTGGGTCAGTGCGAGAGTCCTTTGTGACGTTATTTGTGGTAGTAAAATTTGAATTTTGGCCTTCCTTTCCTTCAACAAATATTGTATGAAATCCCCACGTCATCGAAACCAAAAGCCCTCTGTTCCTGTAAAGGCTCTATGATCTGGCAAAGTTTCATGGTTCTAGCTTGAAAACTGCAACCCGTACAGAATAATTAATAAAGCCAACTTAAAAAACCTTTCTTTTGGTTTTGTTTTTTTGGCTCAGTGCATCTTAAATCTCAGTTTTGGCCAAGAATTTTCATTTTGTGTATCACTAAATGTGCCTTTGTATTTAGCAGATAATTATCTGGAACTCAGAGTGAAGTTGGACTGAAATGAGTGTCTATGGACACACTCTAGAGGAGAGGAATGAAAGAATGAGTGGATGAACGAGTACGCAGTTTATTTGTTCTTGCTAAGAGTTCGCTGTTTCTCTGCATGTTCCACAATCTTCTCCTCCACGTAGAGTCCTTTGCGCTTCCGAACAGCATTCATGTACTTCAGCGCCTGATTGGCTGAATCGGCCTTTTCTCCGAAGTGCAGATACTCTTCTTCTGTGGTGGGGACCCAGAATGGATCGCTGGAGATTACCTGAGAGAAAGACAAACACACATGCCGATGATTAGACGGAATTTGGAAGGCACTTCAAAATTTACGACTCCTACTTTTAGAGATGAGCTGGCGCAGAAGTGAAACTACACCAGAAAACTAATCTAAGTTTTAACTTGCTGGGTTGGAAAACACACATTAAAAACCAAGATTGCTTCTAAGCTGTGCCAGAATGAAATGAAACTGTAACTGCCCACAGTTCAAGAAAAAATAATGGAGAAGAAAGTGGAATATTTCATTCTAAATGAACTCAAATAGAGGTACGGGCTGTTTCACCGTTTAAAGACACACAAATCAGTACAGATACTGGAGACACAATGATGAAGTAAGCTTTTGTAATCAGGTATACAGCTGTAGAGTTGTGGGTGAATTTAATGTGCATTTTTTATGTCCATTATTATCCTATGAAAAAATTAACGTCATGTGGTGCGACTGTCCAACCATGCATACAGATTAGGATAACTATTAAGAAAGATTATTTTGTTATATGACAGTCTAATTAAAATAATTTGGCCTGATTTTGTGCCAAAAAATCATAACATGTTGCAAAATAATGCAAACTACTGAAAAACTAATGAAAAGCTAATTGAAAGCTATTCCATAAACTCCTATTTCCTCAAATGTCATGTGGTGCAACCGATAACAAAGGGCTTTTATTCTGACATGCTTTTAAGAAAGAGTGGGCAGCGTACTGCATCATAAATAAGACCCCAAGTAACCTTCATGGTGCAATGCCGATATAATATTATAATCTTTTATTTGACATAAAATGTATCCATAAATTTGACTTCAAGGACAAAGGTTTAAATGGGTGTCCAAGTACAAAGACTAGTTCATAAAAATGTTCAATATTATTGTTTAACTAATGTGTAGTTCGTGTCACCTGACATTTTCTGGAATTATACTGTAAAATTATACTGCTATAAAAGATGTGAAACAAAAAATACATTGTATAGACTGTGGCAGATATAAAAAGATCACATCATATTCTTGTACCTGTTTTAAATTTATTTTAAAACGTTTTCTAATTAAGAATTTCTAAAAATATAGTTTTGAACTTGGTCCCTGGGCCTTGTGCAGTTGTACTGAAAGGTATATAATTTATTACTCAGCTTCAGTCTCTGAATGTCGTAGTTATGAATAAGGAACGCCAGTCTAACAGAACACTCATTATAGAGAACGCTGTCTCACTCTCACACACACACACACACACACACACACACACACACACACACACACACACACACTAGCAGCAGGTGCTCAGAACATGACGCAATGATTGCAGCTACACACACTCACACACACAATGATCTCATATTCTAACAATAGTCCAGGGGTACAATTACTGTACCAGTCGAGTGGAGGCCCTGCACCTGGCCTTCAGAGAGGCCCCCTGAGCTCTGTTACTGCGGGACAGATGGCCACCAACGGCCCAATTCATATCCAGAGAATAGAACCACAATCAAAAAACGGCCCATTTCACACCCAAAGAACAGGGCCTCAATCAACAGCCCAGTGTATATTAGGGCTCGACCGAACTGAACATTTTGTTGACGATACAATAGTTTTAGTTAAACAGAGCTGTACTGACTGACAGTTTTCAATTTCCAAAACTCACAAAGGCTCGCCAGCTTAGTCTCATGTTGTCTTATGTAAACAGCCCAATCTACACCCAGAGAACAGAACATCAACTCAAAAAACTGCTTGATTTACACCCAGAGCAAAAAGCCTTAAGCAAAAATGGCCCAATGTCTGTCCAGAAAATAGAGCTTCAACTAAAAAATGACCCAATTTCCATTCAGAAAATAAAGCCTCAACCAAAAATGGCCCAATACACATCCAGAAAATGGAACCTCAACCAAAAATGGCCCAGTTAACACTCAGAGAACAGAGCCCTGAACTCTACACTTAGAGAACAGAGTCACAACCAAAAATCGCAAAATTTACACCTAAAGAATAGAATCACAACAAAAAACAACCAAATTTAAACCCAGAGAAAAGAGTCTCAGCCAAAAACGGCCTCAATTTATACCCAGACAGAAGAACCTCAACACAAGAGTAAAATAACCCAGAGTAAAAAGCCGTAACCAAACATGGCCCTATTTACCTCCAGAAAATAGAGCCACAACCAAAAATGGCCTGATTTACTCCCAGAGAAAAGAGCATCAATCAAACATGGCCGAATATGCAATAAGAGAACAGGGTCTACACACACAACCCAATCTACACTAAGGGGATATAGCCTCAACCAAAAAAACAGCCAGATTAACTCCCAAAGACTAAAGTCTCAACCAAAAACAGTCTAATTTACACCCAGAGAACAGAGCTTCAACCTAAAATAGCCTACTAAATTGTGTGGGTGCATTTGACATTAGAATTGAAAAGAATGAAAAAAAATGCAATCTGTCCAACTTTTCTTTTATACCAAATGTCGATCACTTATTATTCAATGGTTCGTAAGTTTTTATGCTTTTACGGTCAGTGTACTTCATATATGGATTATAGTATTGAACTTTTTCATTTTCAGCTGTTTCTAATCAGCCTAGAAATTTAATTTCAGTCCATCCCTACTTTAAAAGCCCAAACAATTATTTACACCCCTACTAAAAATGCACACACAACCTTAGAGTTTCAAGCTCAAACGAGGTGATGAACGAGCCCATCGCTGTTAAAAAGAAAAACTGTTAGGGTGAAGAGCTCTGAAGAGTCGCCTGAGCTTCATTATTGCTGATCCGTCTCCACTCAGCACTCTAATTATTACATAATAGCGGTGGAGTGATGGCTGATGAATGAGAACCAAAGCAGACAGAAGTTTTTAATGAGGACTCATCTGTCGCAGTGTGTGACAGCATGGGGCGTGTGTGTGTGCAGGGTAACGCTGAGTGCCACTGACTGTGTATCATGATCACATAACGGTCCAGTGTCACTACGGAGACACACATCCTCACCCTGCTGCCTCACACACAATTAGATGAGCTGACCTGAGCTGCTGGTGGACGTCCACAGACATTGTGTGTGTGTGTGTTTGTGTGTGTGTCGGGGAGGAGGACGGCTGGCAGACTGAAGCTGACTGCGGTGCTCTGGCTTGTGGGTCTAATGGCCTCACAGCGCAGCAGGGAAAGCCTTACACTCACATTCAGGCCCTGACGATGACATCTGTCTCTGCCACACACACACACACACACACACACACACAGTCTGAACGCTCTCTGTGACACGACAGCACCAAGAGTTAGCCTCTTCGCTAATGGTGTAGCATCATACGACCAGTCACCTCTACAGCTGTCACATATACAATACAGAGAGAGAATATACAGATACACTGTACTGTGCTAAAGTTTAGGCGCCTGTGGGTAAACTCCATGTTTTGCTGATAAGTTAACATCCCCTAGCACACATTTTAATTCGTTTTTAATTAGTTATTGTTTATTTGCTAAATTTAACTTTTAGAAAAACATAAACTCTGGCCTGTGCAAAAGATATGGGACATCTTATATTTCATTTTTTCCCCAGTATGTTGAACTCAGTAAATAAAGAGGCAGTGTTGACATACTGTCACTTTGAAAATAAACACAATATTCAATTTGACCAGGGGTGCTCAAACTTTTGCACATGGCATCAAAACAGAAATTTACACAGAAGCCTCAACAACTAAATCTAATATCAGCTGTTTGAGTGTTCAGTGTGTCACTTTTGACCTTTATTCCAGCTTCCATTCTTTTCAGGAGACTCACTTTCAGTTTCTCAAAGAAATCTGCAGACACACCTCCAAAATTCAGTCTTAGAAGTTGGTTGATCATTTTCTGAAGAAATCAAACACATACAGTGATGTTGAGGTCTGGACTCTGGGGTGGTCAGTCCATTGTTCAGCTTCTTTATTTGATGTGTCTGTCTCCTTTTCTCAGTGAGGTTCTTCTTGACAGCTACACATCCTTTCAGACCCATAGCGCTGAGTTGTCTTCTCACAGTGGAAGGATGGACAGAAACACCTGTGGATGTTTTCAGATCTGAAGCAGCTTGATTTTCTCCTCTCTCTCAAAGATGAAAGCTTTAAGTGCTGTTTATCTGAAGGGGGCAGTTTTGGTGTCTACCAGGTCTTCCAGGTGGTTGTTAGGGGTTTCAACTCCAGTTTTGAAAAATCTTGTATTTTTCACTTATTTTCCTTACGAATATTTTATATCTAATTTAATATTTAATCTATCTATAGATAGAAAGACAAATAGATAGACAGACAGACAGATATATATATAGAGAGAGAGTGAGAGTAGCTGAAAAGTAAAATAAAGAAGTTGAGGGATTGACTTTATAAGACTCAAGCTGGTTATAATTCACTCTTTTTCCTGCTGCAGCTCACACACACTGAACAGTTTCAGTCTGATGGCTTCAGCAGACACACACACACACACACACACACACACACACACACACACACACACACACACACACACGGGTGGCCCCAAAATCCCCCAATCAATAATTCCCTACATCCTTCCATCACACACATGTTCTCCATTCCATAACATTTATAGACATTGGGCATCTACCAGAGTGAGAGTTTATGGGGAATATTTTTCCATACTGGCAACCCGTCCGCTTAAACACAACAGTTTATACAGAGCTTTACTTCTGATGAGCTACAATTTACATCATTTACCACTTTTTTTTAACAATGCACAAGCCAGAACAGCAGAATTATACATTTGATATCTGACAGAACTGTTTGTTTATGAACTGACTCATGCTCCGCCCACAAATGCGATCATTCTTAGCAACGGTTGCTGGGGAGGAAACACACATATTTTTACACACACACACACACACACACACACACACACTGTAGTGTGCAAATGTTTTTAGGCACCTGGCAGTATTTATTTACTCAGAAAAAGAATTAGAATAAATACAACTACTATTAATACAATAAGCAGAGATTTTTTATGTCAGTGTGTTTGTGTTACCATTTCCTGCCCTCTCCTCAAGTA